AGCACTATTTCACAGGAGGCAAAATGCTTGAAAGCCACAGTCTGAAAGCTCAGTGAAGGTGTAACTTATCCTGAGGATCAAACTGGAGCAAGTTGTGAGGTTACCAGCATCCAACTCTAACCAGTATCTCCTGGAAACATTAAGATAACATAAACATATTCACTAGGAACTTCCAGAAGCAGGCACTTCAGAGCAGTGTGAAGTGCCAGACATATCATTCAGACAGGGAAGCCTTTAATAATCTTCAAAACCAACACCTAATAGAACATGGAACTGGATCATCAAACTTAGCACAGCCCTTTCACCATTCTCGAGTGACTCATGACCACTGTATGACCCACACAACCTACACAGGCAGGCAGTGCCTACGTTCATAAGATACTTGAGCTGTTATAGGGAGCTGGATCCTGAAAAAATAACACACAGCAACCAGAATCATCAGGCAAACAGCCTTCTCTGTGCTTAATTATCCAGATGCAGCAGAAAGGCAGAGCCCCTTCTGAAGCTCCTTGAGACACACCACTGAGGGACACTCTAGAAAAGCTACACATTACACCAACATATGGACAAGAAGAACTAAATTAGAAGCTTAACTATTTTCTAATGAAACTATCCGAGCAATCAAACCAAATTTAAGCACAAGAAAAGCATTTCCATCAGAAGATTAAAAAATAATTCAGAACTCCATTCAGCACTGTCCATGCTAGTACTGAAAAACCCCTCTGCTTGCCAGTGGCAGATGGGAAGCCTTACTCAGCAGCAATGCACAGCCCTTCAAACACAGTGAGAATACAAATAAACAAACCAGCAACTGCTGAAGAGCTGTCGATGTAGAAGTCTGCCTGTGTTTTTGCTGACAAACCTAAGTGTGATCCACAAGTTGATGGATACGATGGAATCCGCCCTTTTTTAGACAAAATTCAGTGCTCCTTGGATATTTCAGCTCTACCAAGCAAGAGAGACACAAACTGAAGATTTCTAATGCTAACACTCAAAATCTAAAAGAACAGAGACCATTTTGGAGAAATGCATCTTCTAGAGTATTAAGTTCAAAAGCAGAGGAAAATACTAAGACTACCTAAAGTGTAATTTAGGGTAGTTGAGATCAGCATCTACAGCTGTACAGTAAGGAATGGACGTTCATCTGGGTAAGGAAAATGACACCAGACACTATTCCTGTAGTTAAGAGCATAAAGGTCCAAAGACAAACAGCAAAATAGGCCCTGTTTACAAGGGGAGGAAAAAAAAAGAATCCAACCTAAAAGAACCTTGAAAACTTCCTATTAAAAGTGATATAATAAGAATTTCTCACCAAACTGGTGGTGTTTCTTTTTATTCTTCCCTCAAAACACTTTGCCTTCCCTGAGTGCTGAGCCTAACCTGATGTGGATTTATTTTTTCTTTCTTCCTATTTAAAGCTATTTCACTTGGCTTCCAAATTCCTACTTGTTATCAAATCAGATTCTCCTAAATATGCTCTCTCAATCCTGGGTAAAGGACTTGCCTTTCTAACTGGACCTATTCCAACCTCATTTACCCTACAATTAGAAATAATGTTTTTCTGCAAAATTACATTTGCAACATGCAAATCTCATCCTAAAGGGTGGGATGGGAGGATAGTGCTAGTCTGAATGGTTTGTTTACTCTTTTTAAATGAAAAATAACATCCAGCTTTCTGCCTATACTGCTCTCCAGCCTGCTTCATGATAAAGCAGCTACTTAGACCCTGTGATTTTGCCATTAGAACAGGTTTTGTTTTGACATCCAAGAGCTGCTCCAACATCTCGATGAAGTTGGCAGCAGGTCCAGTCGTCTTCTCTTAGGTCTGCAAATTTTCCATTTGGCTCCACTGCAGCTTCTTAAAGCAAAAAAGCAAAAGTTACTCATCAGCAGTCAGAAGAGGCAGATCAGAACACCGAGCTACACAGACATTACAGTGAACTTCAAGCTCACTCCCACTTGGATTAAAACCACCAGGATTAAGATTTAACAAAATATTTTCTGCATGCCAAGCAACAGATAACTGTAAAGAGAGTCAACTCTTTCACCTCTACCCACTTAAGTCACAGAGGAGCTTAAACTTCATAGATCACCTGTATCCTAGCACTCAGGACTGATCCATCATGGCAGTGTTACATCAAAACCAAAACAAAGTCAGTCCTATAGCAGTCCTGAAACAAGAAAAACGGTACAGGGCAGAGCACAGGAAAATGGAAGATGGCCACCAGCATTTCAGAAGGCAGCACTGCACGTTTGCCTCAGCACGGAGTCAGGTTCATCACAGATTATTCGTACATGACTGACAGCTCCCAAGCTCCTGCTCTGAAAGCAGAACTCCACCAGCCATGCCTTCCTGGAAGAGGCCCAGACTTCATAGAGCAAAACTAGGACCTCAGGCCAGTGTAACATTCACTGCCTGCAAAGTTTTAAGGACGCTTTTACAGTACCTAAAGATCAGAATTGTTAAGGTTTTTCTAGCTTAAAGAGTATCAAATCTACCAGCAGTTACACCAAGAAGTTACTAATTACTTCAACTCTGAAGATTTTATATGAGCACCTGTAAGAAAGCATCCAGTCTCCTAGACCAAACTATCACTTTTACTTTTGGTTTGTTCCAAGCAGAGCAGACCACAGTCAGCACAACAACGAGCACCACCCTGCTAAAGTCCTGCTCTACTCTGATTTCCTCTTTGATTCCTTATTCATCACCTTCCTCAGTCAGACAAAAAGGAAGGCTCAGGTGCTAATATTAAAAATTAGAATAATCAACCCAAATGTTTTCTAACTCAAACAGGCCACTTATGCTCATCTTATGAGTGCTCTCTCATCAGCTACCGTTGTTATGAACAGAAATACCGAGGACTTAAAAACACCATCTTCACTTTATTTTACTTTCATTAAAAGCCTTGCTCTGTATATCTACCTTACAATTGCAAGGTGAAAAATAAAGCACTAATGTTCTGAACTAAAGAGTTTGCCGTTTCATGGGGTGCATAAAGATTCTGTTTATAACTAAGATGTTCAAACTTCATCAGTTGTGTTGAACTCCATCAGTGCTGCTGGCACAGCAGCAGAGCAGGGGTCTTGCAATCACAGTATAAACAAGTATTCTTGTACATTTTGTTGCTTCTTAGAGCGCAAATGCAAAGGATCCCTACAGAAGATTCTGATGTGTGCACTTGACCCACATAGACAAAGTCTTGTCCACCAGGTCTACAACTCTGATTTTAATTATGCTTCCCAGTCTTCAGCTTAAGGAGTTCACACTTTAAAGAACACAACCTACCAAAAAAGGCAGTTGCCAAATTACCACCAGTCAAGAACTGGAGGCCACTATCTACCACCTAATGCATACAAGATTCTTTTTAAGATTTTTAAAAAACTGCACATGTATAAAAATAAGATAAACATTTGCAAAGGTTCTAAAGTTGATTTAATTATTTTTCTAACAAAATTTGTCCGATTACACTTTTTAGCAGGTTTTAACACTGCCTTTCAGGCAAACTAGTCCCTGGAACACGTGATGCTATCAAAAAGGCGGTGAGATCTCCATCATAAAGACAAGGATTTAAGATCCTAAGCATGTGAATATGTACAGCCAGGCTTCAATTTAGCTATATATGCCATCCACTAATTTTTTTTTTTTTTTATAAAAAGACTCGCAGCTTTACAACATTGCATATGTTCACTGAAACACCCCAAGAAAGGTGAGTTCAGTTCACAGGCTGAGAACATGCTACCAGCCAGCATCACTGAAGTATCACAGAGCTCTAGCAAAGTCATTTGGTTTATTCTTTACAGAGAGTGAACAAGAAAAGTGAAAATGTGGTCAAAGGGAAGACTTCAGAAAAGGTCTGAGATGCAGTTTTTGTCTGTCAACTTCTGCACTTCCCTGTATGACATCAATCTAAAAAGTCTTCTAGGCCAAAACCAATCCAACACACAGGCACTCCCCACGTTTGATTTATGGCACCTGGAAGCATCAGCTTCCAAAGCCTGGTAGTAGTGTCCACATTTCCTAAAGCTGTCACTCCTGGCTGTGAGAGCACGGGCTCGCCAAAAATAGCACACACTGGAAACATGGCGGCTCGCTGCAAATGCTGCTTTCACCCGATTGTGGGGAAAAAAATTCCTTTCTTTGTAAAGAATACTTGTTATGGGCGTGCAAGCCGTAACATAAAAAGTCACCAGGTAAGCACGTGGAGAAGGAGGAATACAACGGATCATCCAAATCAACACTAAGAGGTACTGGAAGGTATACTGAAGCCTTTTCTCTCTTTTTTTTTTTTTTTCCAGCAAATGTATCTGGGGCCTTACAAGAGGCTGGAAGAGTCTTCACACAAGAACTACTTCGTATTTAAATCTTGGCTTAATCTCGGATTCAGCCAAGGTCATGCGGTAACTCAGGATAAAACACACGCTCTGCTGGGTCGACTTGTGACTCCCCTTCACCTACGGAGTTCCAGCAAGGAGAGCCCTGGAGCTGACACGGAGGGCCCGGGCCGTGCCAGCGCCCAGCGCTGCCCGTCGATCCCACATGGAACGGGATACCCTCGGCCCTCCCCGACCCCACCTCCGCGAAGGAAAACCCCCCAAAAAACCCCCCAAAGGCGGAGGGCGAGGCGCCCCCGAGCCCGCTCAGCCGAGAACAAAGCTGGCCCCGCACACAATGCGGGCCCGTGAGCGCCGAGCCCCCCTCCGCCCCCCCAGCCCCGCACCATCGCACCGCTCCCGCCGGGAGCCCCGCGGCGCCGCCAGGGCTCCGGGATGGGGAGGGCGGCCCAGGATGGGGAGGGCGCAGGGCACAAAGCGCGGCGGGGACGGGGCGGGAGGGCGGTGTGTGCTGTGTGCGTGGGGGGGGTGGTGTTGGCGCGCCAGCAGCGCCGGCCCGCGGCCTACGGGAGCCGGGGGCGCCTCGGCCCGCGGCGTGCTGCTCGTGGCCCCCGCGGGAAGGTGCGGCCGCGCCGGTGACCCCCACACCGCCCTCCCGGCCCCCTCACCTGCGGGCGGAGCGGGACGGGAGCGGGAGGCGCCGCTTCACCACAGGCCGGCCCGGCGGACGAGGAGCGCCTCACGCAGCAGCGTGCTCTGCCGCCGGCCGCATATATCCGGCGCGCAGCCTACCCCGGCGGGAGCGCCGCGGCCAATGGCGGCGCGGCGGCCTCCATCGCTCGGATGCCGGTTGGCCCGCGGCGGAAAAGAGGCGGGCGAAGCGCTGAGGGGCAGCGCGGCCAGCCAACCACGCGGCGGGGCTGGGCAGGGCGGTGGGAGTGACTGACAGCCGGCCGAGCTAATGGGCGGCGGCGGAGAGGTGATTGATTTCCACCGCAGCCAATAGGACGACGCTCCGGGCGCCCCCAGGCGCCGCAGTGTGGTTGAGCCGCAGTGCAGCGCCCTTGAGAAGCCGCTGGTAAACCCCGTTATGGGCGGGGGCGGGCCCCGCGGGGCGCGGCGGCCAATGGGAGGGCGCGGCGGGAGATGATTGACAGACTCCCGCCAGTCGCCTTAAAGGGGCAGCGGCCGCCACGCGGGGCTCGGCATCGCCCCCTGCTGGAGGGAGGGGGGCGGCGCCCAACATGGCGGCGGGAGGGGGTGCCATGTGCTGAGGGCCGGGGTCACCCCGCGCTGGGAGGGCTGCGGGCCCCCAACAGGGAGCAGCCAGCGGCTCTCGCCTGGGGCTGCGTCTCTCGGGCTGTCACAGGCTCGTCGGTGCTCACCTGGCCCCACACACACCTGAGGGAAGCCCCCAGTGGGGGTGGGTGGAGGAAGCTTTTCACACCAAGGCACCTCTGCCAGACGCGGCCCCGGGCGCTCAGCGGGGGCATTCCTTAACACACCTTGCGAGGGCCAAGCCCTGCAAAGGAGGAGAAAGGCCTGCAAGTTCTCAGATCCTTCCTCACCGGCAGGTGCTGGTGCAGGGAGAGCCAGGAGGGAGCGGGAGCAGCCATCCTGAGCCAGGCAGCCATCCTGAGCCAGGCAGCCATAGCTCCCCATTTCTTTGTGTCACGTCCATCCCGCATGTATCCATGACACGGAGCAGTCAGAGACGGATTTCGCGCTGTAAAAATGACTTCCCTTCCCACCACCACATCCCTGAACGCTGCCTAACCCCTTCCCTGCTATGCCTTGCAGCTAAAGATACAGACAGTGGATTGGCGTGGGGCCACGCTCAGCATTAATATCCTTCCCCCCACACCCCACGGCTATTTATAGCCTGAGCCACGCTGCAATCTGCCAGTTCATAAATCAGCACTGCAGACTTCTATAAAGTTTAACGTAAGCCCAAGTGACCCAGCACCAAAGCCCATCCAAAATAAACTCTGCCAGGGCGATCCTGGACACCTCTCCACAAAGCAATAGCAGGGCAGGTAATTATTTTTATAAAAAAGCATCCTGTGCACCTCAAAACGGATGTCTCACCCCCAGCTGGTGTGGTAGCATCCAGAAACACTCTGGTTATTTTTCCGGCTGCAGGTTGGGCTTCTGAACAGGAAGATACTGAAGCCCAGCACGTGGTCGGGAAGCATCCCACAATACAGCTCTTCCCAGCCCTGGCTGTACTGCACTGACCCCTCTCCAGGTTCCCTGCCAGAGCACCTGAGCTGCTCCCAGCCCCTGCCACAGCCTCCTCCACCTGGGACTCAAGTTTTTCAGAGAGGGGCTCATTTTCCTTCAAGGGACCATACAGCCAGGGAATTTAAAAACAAACAAACAAACAACCCAATCCAAACGTAAAGCCCCCAATCAAACAAAAAACCCCAAAGCACCCAAATCAAAACAAACAAAACTAAAACCAACAACAAAGTAAAACAAAAACCCCAAACAAAAAACAATCAAATCAAACAAAAAACCACAAAAACAAAAACCAAAACCAAAGCAGCAAGCACCCCAAAGCAGGCACATCTTCAGGGACCAGCATCCCGCCTCTCAACCTACTCTGAAGCAGAGACGCCCCCCAAACCTCCCCTCGCTCAATATCCATTCTACCAGAACTCTCCTGAGCCAGTTAAGTCTCCAAACCTCCAAAGACAAGACAGGAAGGAGCTTTCAGGAGCAGCCCGGCCCCACCTCATGGCTCTCCCCACCCCTCTCTGTTCCCTGCGCTGATGCTTCCCCTGGCAGCGGGGGTCCACAAGGACGGACCGCGACCCAAAACTCCCTCGCAGCTTTCCCCTTAACCCTCTCCCGGCACCCCGCGCCTCCCGACGGGCTCAGCCGCGGAGCGGGCACGGACCGCCCCTTCCTCCGCGCCGCCGGGATCCGGGATCTCCGCCATGCCGGTGGGTGCGGGCCGGGGCCGGGGGGCTCCGGGGGCCAGCAGGGGCCGGGGGGGCTGTGTGGGGACCGGGGACGTGGCGGGCAGGCGGGACAAGCAGGGCGCTGCCCGGTACCGGGGCAGGCGCGGGGGTCCCGCAGCCCCCCCCGGGCTCTCCCAGTGCCCGCAGCTCCCGCATCCCCCAGAGCGGGAGCAGCGCTGGGACCCTCCCCGCGCACCGCCCCAGAGCGCACAGGGCCTTTTTTGGGAAATAGAGATGAAGAAAACGGCAGTGACACTGGGAAAAAAAAAAAAATAAAAAATCCCCGTGGGATCCGCTGTCCCGAGCTGCCTCCGCGGTGGATGATCCTAAGAGGGTTTTAGCCTTACAGGGGCGGGATGGGTTCGGGGGGGAGGGTGAAGGGGGCACAGGGTGGTTATGAGTAGGTGGAAATATGGGTTGTAGGCAGCAAATGAAATACGGTTTGTAGTTAACAAATTATATATGGTTAGTAGGCAATAAGTGAAATATGGGTGGTAGATAATAAATGGAGTATGGGTGGCAGGTAACAAATGAAAAACGGCGTTGCTTTTCTTTTTTAAGGAAAGCGAAAAGCGCGTGTGAGAGAAGGAAATTGGGACCCATCTGGTGCCAGAGGTTGAAGGCAATGATTAGTTACAGGCAAGCACGTTTGTGTTGACCCAGTGTCTCTCACAGGTAGTGAAGTTATCACTGGGGCTCCAGTGGACTGGAAGGATGAAAAAAACATCACTAATGCTCCTAAAATTTCTATTTTGTTTATATTTTTGTTATGCTGGGGACCAGAGGCCTTGTAAACACAAGAAGAATAAGGGTGAGGAAGCACAGAAAACCTCACAGACTCAGATAGGACAGTGAGTAGCTGGAGGCAGGAGATTTGCATCTCCTGGGCTCCCCTGGGCAAGTGGAGTGAGTCCAGCAGAGGCCACAGAGATGGCAACCTGTGCTGACCCTGGAGGTAGCCAGACAGTCTCCAAAGTTCCCTCAGGGTTATGCTGTGAGGGACAGCGCAAGGACACCCTGGGGAGGAGTACCAAGAGCTCTCCTTTCCCTGTGGATCCCTTAGTGGCATGTGTGGACCTTTTGGCTGGGGAGGCTTTGAATGCACCTCCCCAAGGGAAAAGGCAAGTGTGGAGGACGAGAGCGTTGATGGTGTGTTGCCAGCTGTGCCCTCCCTGACCCCTCGTCTGCCTCTTCTCAGAAACACGAGTTCTTTGTGGACATGACCTGCGAAGGCTGCTCCAACGCCGTCACCCGTGTCCTGCACAGGCTGGGAGGTGAGTCAGTGCTGGGTGTGGTGTGGGACAGCCAGCTCTCTGGAGCGACACCAGCTCCAGGGCAGGATGGCAGTGCCCCGGGATCCTGTTTTGAAGAGTAATGCCATGGGTAAAAGCTGGAAGTTGGAAACTTCTCCCCCCTCTGCTCTGAGCCTGCTCCTTAGTCAGTTAACAAGTCACTGGTTGTTTGCAGGTCTGTGTGACCCTTGGAGAAAGGTCAAGGGAGGGAGGAGCTGCCATGGCTGCAGGTGGCTCTGAATCACCAGGGCCTCACCCTGAACCCTCTGGGAAGGACATTGGTAGACCCCTGCTCAGGCTGCCAGAAGGAAGGGAGTTGGATGTCCTGCCTGGCATTGTTTCCAAGGAGGCCTGGGGTATCTGTGATGCTTCCCTAGATGTGTCATCAGCAGTCACAGCAAAGAGCTGCTGAGCAGAGTGTTTGGTGGTTGTCTGTATAGCCTGTTTTTAACATCACCTGGAAAATTATAACCCGTGTCTCCTGTATGCTGGCATTTCCAAGTGAGAAAGATTTAGCCTGCACTCACCAGTTGTGAGGACTTGCTCCCCTCCAAGAGAGAAGAGCTTTCAGTCAGCAAGGCAAAGGCCTTGCAAGTTCTTCCAGACCCCATTCCTAGGCTGTGGCAATTCCACTCTGTCCATGGGTGGTTGTCACCACCTCCATCACTCTTCAACATGCTGGGCAATATCAGCCTCATGTGATGAGGTGGCAGAGCTCTCAAAGCTGATACATACCTACAGGTTTTGTGAAAATAAATGACTGGATAGAGACTTCACGTCCATTTGTTTTCACTGGGCTGAGAAGGCTCACTTTTATTAGCCACTGGGAAATCCACATGGGAAAATGTTTTTTCCTTCCCTCTACTTACAGCTGTTAGGAAGCCCCACCACTGAGGAAACCTGTCCTGACCCCATCCTAACCCTGTCCCTGCTAAACCACAGCACAGGCTGAGCTCTGGGTGGAGACTGTAGTGGTTGGTTTAAACTCAGTTTTATTCTGGTTACTGCATGAGTGATTTTGTTGGTGGAAGGTGGGGTGAGCAGATTAAAGCAGTTGAGAAACTCTGGTGCCCAATGCAGAGCTAGAGCAGATCTGACTCCCTTTGTACCTTTGTCCTGCCATTGTTGGCAGGACACCAGTTTGATTTTGCTGGCTGGTGGTGGTATCAGGGATTGCTGGCAGGAGATAAATGTCCATTTCACTGATGGCTGGGGGAGCACAGATGCATGAAGTTGAGCTTTCCATGTGTCCACACCATTTGGCTGCTTCTAGCTGTGCAAAACTTTTCTTTCCTCATAGGTGTGCAGTTTGATATTGACCTGCCCAACAAGAAGGTGTTCATCGACTCAGAGCACAACGTCGACACCCTGTTGGAAACCCTGAAGAAGACTGGAAAGAACGCTTCCTACCTCGGGGAGAAGCCTGCGCAGTAGCCTTGCCTGGTGTGAGGAGGTTAGGTGTATACCAGGTGTATCCATTGTGGAAGAGGGAGATCTGAGCTTTTTCCAGCTCTCCCAGTTAACCAGGCTTCTTCTCTGGGAAACACAAG